GTAGCCAAATTAGGGCAAACTAGTATTCCTATAAATACGGGGTACACCCTGTTTATCCGAGCGGATATTCCTTTTACCCAGCAGATATTCCGCTGTACTCTCATAAACCCTAGTTTTTGTAATCGTTTTTCCTGTTGATCCTTTGAGTTTTTGCATTTCTTTTCTTCATCAAAGTTGTAGATCTGTCTCTTATCTATAACATACTTTCGTTTCAATGATTTCTGGGTTTGAAACGTTTTCTGGGTTTTTATGCATGATGTTCTTCAGTGTTCTTGAGTAGTGGATTAGGGTTCTTGAGGATGGGTTAGATTAGGTGTGGAATCCTTAGTATATTTAGGTGGTTAAGTGTAGAATTGCTTGATTTCCCTTCTGGTTTAGTAGATCTTAATGCTATTTCTTCTCTGATCAATTAGAAATTGATCTCAGACATTTCCACACCCAAAAGGTGTTTGATGAAATGTCTGAACAAACTTTTCCAGAGATTTGCATACTCTAGCCCAAGAGATTGGATGTTTAGAATGCTTATTGACTCTATTAGATTGAATCTTAATGCCTGCTAGGTTATATTTCTTCAATGAGAATTGAGTATGAAAGTGATTTAGCTTGAGAATCTCTGTCACGAGAGTGGATTGATTTGTATTCGAATCTATTTTCTAGGGATAGCTTGATTGAGTTTGTTAACCACCTAGGTAGATTAAGGAGACTGCCATAATCGATTACCCCATTCCTCAGGACCTTTTATCTCTATTGATTGTTTAATCTTGCTTACTTGTTGTTTACCTATTCTCTGCACTTGCTCATTCATGTTCTGTAGTTTTATAGTTTTTATGCATGTTCGCTTAGGATTGCTAGATAACAAACCTCTATTCTGCTTGGCTTGACTTAGTATTCTCTGAGCATATCTTGATTGATAGTAAGAGCACCTGATTGGATTGATAACCTCTTATACCGCAATGACATGAAAGTATATTAGGGTAATTGATAGCAAAAATCCTAGTATCAGAGGAGCGCGGGGAGCAAAAGCCGATTTACTACATAAGTAAGTCAATGACAGATCTGGAAACCAGGTATACAATGATGGAAAAACTCGCACCTGCGGTGGTGACTTCAGCCCGAAAGCTACGTTCATATTTTCAATCCCATCCAATCGAAGTGTTAACCAACCAGCCACTCCGAACAATACTTCATAGTCTAAGTCAATCCGGACGGCTGGCGAGGTGGGCGGTGGAGCTAAGTGAGTATGATATAGAATACAAAAGCCGAGTCAGCATGAAGGCTCAAGTTTTAGCAGATTCCTTGACCGAACTACCAATACTTGGCACGCCAGAGCAACCAGAGAATCAGACTTGGAAATTGCATGTAGACGGATCTTCATCAAAACAAGGATCCGGAGTGAGAATCAAGTTGAAGTCTCCCACATCGGAAATTCTTGAACAGTCGTTCCGTTTATTATTTAATGCTTCTAACAATGAGGCAGAGTATGAAGCCCTAATTGCCGGACTTCGGTTGGCACAAGGAGTTGGAGCTGAAGAAGTGGTTGCTTATTGTGATTCGCAACTAGTAGTTAACCAGTTCAATGGAGACTATGAAGCCAAAGACTCAAGAATGGAAGCATATCTCGAAGTAGTGAAAGATCTGTCTAAAAACTTCAAGAAATTCGAACTAATTCGCATACCTCGAGGAGAGAATACAACTGCGGATGCACTTGCCGTATTAGCATCAACGTCGGATCCTGAGTTGAAAAGAATCATTCCGGTGGAATGAATATCGGAACGGAGCATTAAAGATGACAAAGAAACTCTTGTCATAAAAAGATCTCGAGCAGTGGCACGTGACCGTGGTGAGCCTGAGATAGAGCTGCCACCCGTCAAATAGAGGAAGTCAAAGGAATCGAACATATCTGAGCCCAACATATCCAAAGAAAGCGGTAGCGAGGAGCCTGTTATCCTGGCAGAAGACGTAATTCCGGAAACAGTTATAGAGACCGAGCCATTTATCGAAGAAGATACCCTTGAACCAAACGAGCATCCCGAACCGGAACCACGAATATTTCACGAGGTCGGCCAAATTCCGGCTAAAGATTGGGGGGCTGATTGGAGGGAGCCAATAAAGCATTACATTGTGACAGGCGAGCTCCCAAAAAATAAATGCCAAGCCAGGAAAATGAGAATCGTTAGCGCGAAATTTTGTCTATCAAAGGATACGTTGTATAGGCGAGGTGTCAGCGACCCTTACCTACTGTGCATTTTTGGGCCCGAAGTCGAAATTGTCATGAGCGAAGTGCACGAAGAGCTGTGTGGGAGTCATTCGTCAAGAAGGGCTATGGCTTTTAAGATTAAAAGAATGGGGTATTATTGGCTCACTATGATCACGGATTATGTTAAGTTCGCCCAAAGATGTAAGCGCTGTCAACTTCATGCACCGTTGATCCATCAACCTTCGGAGTATTTTCCTCCATCTCCGCCCCATACCCGTTTATGAGGTGGTCGATGGATATCATTGGACCATTGCACAGATCAACTCGAGGCGTACAATATCTTTTGGTCTTGACGGACTACTTTTCGAAATGGATTGAAGCTGAAGCATATGTTAAAATCAAGGATTCGGCGGTAAAGACTTTCATTTGGAAAAATAACATATGTCGACATGGAGTTTCGTACGAGATAGTCACTGATAACGGGCCGCAGTTCATTTTGCACGAATTCAAAGCTTTTTGTTTGGATTGGGGAATCAAAGTCAGTGACTCTACTCCACGGTATCCACAAGGAAATGGCCAAGCTGAAGCCCCAAATAAAACAATTCCGAGCAATCTCAAAAAACGTTTGAATCATCTAAAGGGAGGATGGTACGACGAACTCCAACCTGTCCTGTGGGCCTACCCCACAACCCCTAGGCAGTCTACTAGGGAAACTCCGTTCTCTTTGGTTTATGGCATGGAGGCGGTAGTTTCAGCCGAACTCAACGTGCCCGGACTTCGCCAAACAGAAGCACCATTAAATGAAGAAGAGAACTCAGCAATGCTTGATGATTCGCTAGATACCATTAATGAAAGGCGAGATCAAGCTTTAATTCGGATTCAAAATTACCAATGCTAAGATCAAAAGTAGGCCTTTCTTTGTAGGAGATTATGTGTTAAAACGAGTCTTTGACAATACAAAGGAAGAAGGCGCAGGCAAACTCGGCATTAATTGGGAAGGACCTTACATTGTTACCGAAGTAGTTCGGAATGGTGTTTATAGGTTAAGAGACTTAGAAGACAGGCCAGTCCAGCGTCCTTGGAACGTGGTCAATCTAAAGAAGTTTTATGTTTAAGTGACATGCATTTTTATTATGTACATGAACTACGGTGTGGCTTGATCCCGAAATAGGTACGTAGGCAGCTCGGAAACGAGTTCAGCTACTAATAAAATTTTGTTTTATTTTATCATTGAAAAAAGGAGTTCGACTATGCGAACGAACAAGGCAAATAAAGTTCGACTATGCGAACATACAGAAACTGGAAACAAAACAACATTTATTCAGCAATAAGTAAATAAGACGAAGTCTCGTCATACACGCACTTCGAATTAGGAAATTCTTCTCGATGAGCAGAACACTTGAACTCCTTGACCAGCGAGGTCGAGAATTGGCATCATACAGTCCGGAATGCGAGAAAATTCGGAGATTCCAAGCTCGATCCAATCGCCGGGGTGGGAGTTGAGGGTGTGAAGGTCTCTCGATATCGTAGTAACCCTACGTTGCATTCGATGAATCTTTTTTCGGAGAATCCTCCTTTCCAACGTTAGCTTCTAGTGTTGAATCACAAGCCCCTTTATGAATGCCATCGCGATTTCTTGATCTTTGTCTGGGAGGTCCTTGATCAAAGCACACAGAGCTCGGATTTGAGATCTGAAGAAGCCGCGAGGTGGAGAAGGCTGCCTACTTGGCACATTTGGAACATCTCCATCCATCATTCCGACCCTGGAGAAATCTGGCATGGACTCCGAACATCGAATGTTGAATTCCATATCTGCAAAAGGAAAAGAGAATGATGAGGAATAAAGAGAATATGAAGTTACAGTTTATAAGGACATCGTATCCCTAGTAGGCCGCGGTTTCCATCCTGGAGCGGAGTGATTCGCGGAAAGATTTATGCCCTTTAACCAATCCTGCATTTAAGACATATCTCCAAGAATATTTCGAGAAACAAGAAAGTAGTAAAAGTTTCCATAAACAAAATGAGCCGAAGCCCATTACGAGTTCAAAAAGTTTTTTAAAAAAACGAGGTGAAATAAGAGAGTAGAGTTCGGGAACATTTATGGAAAAGGCTCAGGAACAGGCTCCTTCATCGCCGGTTCGGCATTCAAAGTGGATGCCTCGTTCTTGTCGTCCACTTCGGGCTCGTTCCGAACGCGTTCCCAAGGGTTGCTGTCCTCCTCCTCATCCTCCTCTTCGCCGTCGGACGGGGCAACTTCGACTGGGGCATTCACGGGCCCTGGAACTTGACCTCTAGCGCGGAGATACATCCGAAGCTTCTTCGGGATCTTTGCAATGGAATCGAAGTTCCTCCACTGCCATTGAAAGGGATTGCTCTCCAAAGCCCTCACCTTCCTATCCACTCGAGCAATGTGAGCCTCTAGCGTTTGCCTTTTGAGACCTAGTCGTTGCCTCTCATCGCACATACGGCGATGTTTGTCGACGACCTAGCATAGAGACGAGTGAATTGAGGAAAAAGGCAGAAAAGTTTGATCGAGTAAGATGAATGCTAACCTTGTCCATGAAGTCGCAAGCCTCTTTCTTATCCTTTGAGGGGAAGTGAAATACAGCGTGAGGAAAGAGAACACCGACCGGCTCGAAACCATCGCCGGACAAGAACAGCGGGTTGCCAGGATCGACGGGGCAGACGGGGGATACACCTTCGTTTTCCATTCTCGTAGTGTTTATCAAGTAAATTTCTGAAATCATACTTGAAGAAAGTTTGGAGGCAGATAAGCCCTTATTTATGATGGGCTTAGGGTTTGTCTTGGAACCGAAAATTCAATAATGATGGCGTGTCTGAATCGTTTAAACCATTTTTGGAAATCGAGAAAAGGCAATTATAGCCTCAAAGGCGTGTAGCTTTTCTTGTTTTTTGAGGAGTCGGAAGGGGAAGAGCAACCGTCGCATTAAAGACAAAAAGCCCATTAAATACAAAGTAAAAACAGTTGAGGCCCAAGCCCAATAAATGTATCGAGTTGACTAAACCCGAAATCGGGAACTCGCGTTAAGCCGAGCTCAGTTCTCGCACTCTAAGAAAAAAGGTTTGACCAGCCTAAAAATCTCAAAACATAACCACAAGGCCAAAAATATTTAAGGCGGACTTTGCAAACCCGCATACTATTTCAACAAAACCCTCTAGGGATCACAACTTGAAAGGTTTAAAAGCCTCCTCAGGCAAATATCATGTTCAAAAAAAAAATAATAGAGCCTCCTTAGGCGAAAACATACTTATCCAAATTTAAATTTTAAGTTTTCAAATGCATGGGACAAACCCTAGTTTAAGGTGGACGCAGCTACTACGGGTCAGTAGCCATCTCGAGCTCGACTTCAGTTCGCAGGGTTTCATTCGGGTCTTTAGCAGGGACTTGTTCAGAAGAAGTTTCCGGTTTATTCCCGATGATACAATCGTCGTCCGGGATGATCACCGGCCCGCTGCTTGCGACTAGGGCAACATCTGCTGGCTCACTCGAACCTGGGAGGGATAGCTCCAATCACTCAAAAATACAAAGCGTGTAGGTGATGAGTGTCAAGAGTGAGAATTTACCAGCCCATCCTAAGCCCGATTCACCCAAGGGAGGTGATTCGGTGAAGAATTCCTCAAAATGCTAAGGGTTGAAGGATGAAGCGGGAAGAGCTACAAGGCGACTTCGTTTTTCAGATAAATTAGCTTTCATCTCGGACCTTTCTTGCTCCTCGAAAAATCCTCTTCATGGATTTGGTCTAACAAGAGTAGGTTTATAACGCCCCCGAACCGTTCTATGACCCGGACAGCCAAGAACGTCCCGGAAACGCTACGTGAAAATGATCAACGACGATCCAGCCGAGGTTCAAGAACAAATCAAGTCCCTTGGTCGCCGACGATATTTTCCCACTTAAAACATCGCTTAGGCTTGCCAACCCTTACGATATTCAAGTGTTGAGTCGACTTAGACAAAGTCTATATCGATCATTACTCGTGGTTTTGTACAAGAAACCCGATTTTATTCCTTAAGTAAATATGTTATAAACATTACAAAATGCTTATAGAGTTTTGTGGCCAAGGCCTAGAGCCCAAAAGCACTATACATAACGTAAACATACTTGTTTTACAAAAGGCACAAAAACTACTCCGGGTTTCCTAACGTCCACCACTCCCTCTAGCTTCCCTCTATTGGTTACCTGCAAAACAAGTAGAGTCATGAGTAATCTAAGATTACTCAGTGAGCTCGGGATTCCCTGCAACAGCTATTAGTTCCCCATCCTATAATTCTAACACAGAACACGCATCAGAGAATGACAACGGAAGGTAGCAAGTAATCATACTTAAGTAAAAACGTGAATTCAAAGCTTAATTTAGTTTTCTAGGGCCCTGATATACTGCCTTCCATAAGTACCACGTCCGTGAACACCCGTGCTATAACCACAAAGGCATATAACCGGAACATCACTTAAAGCTACACCGTCGAGTAGACAGCTTCGGCCAGGGTAGCTAGCCCAGTTTCTCCGAGCTCCTCGCACCACGTGAAGTTCATGTTAATGTAAGTAATTAAGCAAGACCTCACGATAGCACGGCCGCCAACGAAGGACAGCTATATCCTAGTTTTGACACGCTTATGGTATGCTCGGACTAAAAGTCACGAGTACCACGTATCAAGGCTTGAGAATTCAATGATACTATGAGACATATGGTTAATAAAAACACATAGAATCATAAGTATCTTTCAAATAACCTCCTAAGTATAAGCCATATATATTTGAATCGATTGATTACTAATACGGCATAATACTAAGTTCACACAATCAATCAATACTCATAAGATTCAAGAAATCAATCAATGAATGTAAGAGTATATGATCATGCAACCAAACCATATCCTGAACTCACTCAGTCTCCGACGTGCTTAGCAGATTCGGACAGAACTTCTCGGTGATCTTTCTCGATATCGGACAGTTTCTTGGTACAAACGATTTCGCAGCAGCCTCTCGGTTTTTCTCCTCCGTTTTCTCATCAAATGGCTTGAGGATGATCGACTATTTATAGGGGAAGGATGGGCGAGTCAGCAACACACGTGTCAGCCGCACGTACGGACACGTACGGAGCTGCGCACGGAATAGTGACACGTATCCGGCTAACTTTGGCTCCAAGCGACTAAACTTTGGCTCCAAGTGTCTTCCCTTTGGCTCTAAGTTAGGTAGCTTGGTCGCAAGTTTGAATTTGGTCAACGTTTGGTCAACGGGCCGCGTACGTACCGCGGTACGATCGGCCTTCGTCCGGATGGCAAGTCTCTCGACCCAAACTTACCCACGTCTATAATTCCTCGTACCATCTTCTCCCAATCTTCTTAATATTCAGTTTCGTTCGGTAAAGACTTAATTCGGTACGACATATTTGGTACGAAATCACCCGATCACCGATAGATGTCTTGTGGTACGTCCGGCTGTCATCCTGCGGTACGTTCGGCAGCCTATGTACGGGTCACTACATTCTCCCCCCCCCCTTATTAGAATTCGTCCCGAATTCCATAAGGATTTGATGGTCCGGCCTCGTCTCCTTCGTTTTCTTCTAAGAAAAATTGTGGATACTTAGCTCGGAATTTTTCTTCATCTTCCCATGTACTAACCTTACGGTTTTGTTTTCCCCAAAACACTTGTATTTGAAGAATTCTTCTTTTCTTCAGTTCTTGTATTCGCCTTTCTCCAATACCAAGCGGACCTTCGGGGCAAGTAAGGTTTGTCCTCAACTCTTGTATTAGCTCGGGAATAATAGCATTAGGATCTGGTACGTGTTTCCTTAGCTAAGATACATGAAAGACCTTGTGTAGTCGCATGATCTCCGGCATGTCCAAGCGGTAAGCTACATCTCCAACTCTTTTCTCAATTCGATACGGACCAATAAATCTCACCGCAAGCTTTCCAACCTTCCTAAATCGATCCTTCCCTTTTTGCGCTGTTACCTTGAGATAAACCATATCGCCTTCTTGAAATTCTACTTCACGTCTTTTTCGATCTGCATATTTTTTCTGTCGATCTTGAGCCTTCTTCATATTCTCCCAGATAAACTGAACCTTCTCCGTCATCTCATCGATCAGGTAGTTATTGAATTTCGTTCTTTCTCCTACTTCCGTCTAACAGAAAGGAGTTCGGCACGGTATTCCGTACATGGCTTCGAATGGAGACATACCAATACTAGAGTGATAGCTGTTGTTGTAAGAAAACTCAACCAGAGGCAAGTTATCCTCCCAATCTCCAGCCCATTCTAGCGCACACAGTCGAATCATATCTTCTATGGTTAGGATAGTCCTTTGTGTCTGTCCATCGGTCTCTGGATGAAATGCGGTGCTCATGTGAACATCTGTCCCTAAAGCACGTTGAAGATCTTGCCAGAATATCGACGAGAATTTAGGATCTCGGTCGGATACAATGTTGGCGGGTACCCCATGAAGCCTGAGAATTTTGTTGATATATTTTTCCGCCAAAATGGTTGACTGATCTGTACTCTTCACCGATACTAAGTGTGCAACTTTCGTCAAGCGATCTACTACCACCCATATCGCATCGTTAGTACGCCCAGGTCGCGTGGGTAATCCTGTAATGAAATCCATTGAGATTGATTCCCATTTCCATGTAGGAATCGGTAGGTTATGTAGTAATCCTGCCGGAACTTGGTGTTCTACCTTTACTCTTTGGCACGAATCACATTGGTTTACCCACTTTGCTACTGATCTCTTCATTCCAGGCCAATGATAATATCTCCTTATGTCCTTATACATCTTTGTACTGCCCGGATGAATACTCAATGATGAAGTATGCGCTGCTCTTAGTATATCTTCTCGCAGTCCTTTACGATCAGGTACGTTAACCCTTCCGTATAGTAGTAAGGTACCGTCATCAGCTAGATGATAACTGTAACGCCCGCGATCCTCAATAGGATCGTCGGATGAGACTTGGTCCGAGAAAAGGAGGAGAAACTCGGACAAGTCTAGATTGGAGCTGCCCATCAGCTCGGATAAGGAGAATAATGAACGTTAAGTAGCCAAATCAGCTCCCGTATAGCTCAACTAAGCTCGAAGTACTTCCGAGTAGTTCAGCTAAGCTCGGGTAACTGTCGAGTAGCTCAGCTAGCTCGACCAGCTGCCGGGTAGCTCAGCTCAGCTCGGGTAACTGTCTGACGGTTGGATGGTTGGGCGGTTACGGAAGGACGGTTGGGCGGTTACAAGGGGCGGTTACCAATGAGCGGTTATAGCCGAATGGGCGCCTTCTAGAGAAACGGTTGGGAAATGGTTTTCTAAACAAAACTCTATAAATACAAGGCATTTGGGGCGATTTCGGGGACGAAAAAAACTGAGGGAAAAATACAGAAACTCTTGGAGAACATCTTGAGAGAAAACACTTAAGAGAGAGTTACGATCGGTGCGATCGAAGGTGAGACGGTTCTAGACTTTGTGTCCGAACCTAAGGAGATATGATACGTACGATCTAGCCTAGGGATTGTTCCGATGACTTAGAAGAAGTCCGGAACGATTAGGGTGATATTGTAGTATCGGGAATCATTCATATCATGCATAAACTTGGTTCGAATGGCGGATCGGTTGAAATGGGGATGCGGCTCGGCGGAGGATCGGCGGATCTGTGAAGATCTACCGTGAATCGGCCGAACTGATGCGCATACTTCCACTCTCCGATCTGTTCTTCGTTCCGGGTGGTTAAAAGGCCTAGAGAGCATTGCATGGACTTGCATATAATAAGTAAAACGGATACTTATGCCTCTTTGACTTTCAGGAAAA